CCCCATCTTGGGAATTGAATTCTGGGCCTGGGCCTCTCTCTGAGCTTCTTTTGCTCAAGTGAGCACTCTACCACTTGAGCCACAGCACCACTTCCAGCTTCTTTTCTCTTTTTCTTTCTTTTTTTTTTTTTTTGAGTACTTTATTGAAGATCACAGACTTCCCCTCCCAAGCTGCCTTTGAACCATGATCCTCAGATCTCAGCCTTCTGAGTAGCCAGGATTACAGATGTGAGCCACCAGCACCTGGCTATTACCTGATCTTTAAAACCTTCATAGAGCCTCGATAGAACTGGTTTAGAAGTCTAGAAACTAGAAATAAAGAATCCATGCCCAGCATCTGCCCATATTTAAGTCCTCAGCATCCTTCTTCTGGATTGCTTTCAAAGCTTCCTAAGCAGGTCTGAGTCTCCACTCTCACTTTCTCTAGCCCACTGTCAAACTTCTGTCAACGATCCTCCTGAGATGCAAACCTAATCTTGCCACTCCCCTGCATAAAGTCTTCCTAGGTGCTTTTTCTATCAATAAAGTCCAAACTGCTCAACTTGACCAGGCACCTTCTAATCTGGCTTCTGTGTTCTGTCCTCTCTCCATTCTCACAGCTCTTGAGCTTATGTCAGTCTGCTGGCTGATGCCCCAATGCACTATCATATACTCTTTCACATCTTTCCTGGGTTGTTCCCTTTTATTTGCCTAGGGATGTCTAATCATCCTGTAAGTCTCTTTCTAAATCCCTTCCTAATCCCTCTTGGCAGAGTTAGTGGATACTTTCTCTATGCTTTCCAAGCAGTCTGTTTCTATCCTGATGACCTGTCTGTTCCCTCTGTTGGCCAAACAGCATAAGGGAAAGGAACCACTCTGTTTTCCCAAATCCTCTGCACACAACATAGTACCGGGTACTCTGTAAGTACCCAATAAATGACAAAATACTTCCATGTTTCTAACACTATTAGACACAGCTGAAGATGCTAAGAAAGAGCTCTGGCAATCTTTGCTGTTGATATTCCTTATGCTTAATTCCCTTTCCTCTCCCCCACCACCCCATGCGTGTGTGTGTGTGTGTGTGTGTGTGTGTGTGTGTGTGTGTATGTGAGAGAGAGAGAGAGAGAGCACACGTTCTTGTGTTTATGCTGGGGATTGAACCCAGAACTTCAAAAATTGTAAGCAAACATTCTACCACTGAGCTTCTTCTCCCATAGCTGTTTATTTCTTTCATGATTTTTTTTATTGTGAAAAATACTGTACAGAGGGGTTACAATTACATGGGCAAGATAATGAGTACATTTCTTATCAAGCATTGTTGCCTCCTCCTCTGTTTCCCCTTCCCATCCCTTCCTATCCCCCCGCTTCCCATACCTAACCCCCCCCTTCATGATTATTTATTTATTTTTGCCAGTTCTGGGGCTTGAACTCAGGGCCTGAGCACTGTCCCTGAGCTTTTTTTGCTCAAGGCTAGCACTCTACCACTTAAGCCACAGCACCACTTCCAGCCTTTTCCGTTTGTGTGGGACTGAGGAATCAGACCCAGGGCTTCAAGCATGCTAGGCAAGCACTCTACCACTAAGCCACATTCCTAGCCCTATTTATTTATTTAGGCTTTTTCAGACAGAGTCTTTACTGTGTGCCCAGGCTGTCCTCAAACTTAAAATCCTCTTGCTTCAGTCTTTCTAGTGCTGGGATTGCAAGCATGTACTACAATGGCAAACTCTTTCATAATTTGTTCTATTTTATGATTTTTAATAAGTGATTTAAGAGATCCTTCTCTCAGTTGTAGAAGCTCAAGGAAAGTATATCTCCTGGGGAGTTAATAATCACCCAACTTACTCTTACATTTTACAGTCTTAGACTTGTAATCCCAGCACCCAGGAGGCTGTGGTAGGACCAAAAGCTCAAGGACAGAAGGACAGCCTGGGTTATATAGCAAGATTCTGTCTCAAAAAACCAATATTTTATAGTCTCAGACCATACTCACATAGTATAAGACAAAGTCTGTCTCAGAAAATAAAGGCTAAAATTAATTTCCTTGTAATTTACCCATGAGTTTTTATGAGGTCCAAGGTGCAACTAAGCTAGCACCCTCTTGTGCATTTCCACCTTCCCAGAGCACAGAATTATCTACTAGGACAAGAGTTCTTGAATAGAAATTGCAGCAAGATTCAAAAAAAATTATGTAGTTGGCAGAGGATTTTGGCAGGGTGTGTGTGGGGAGAGAGGATTTGAATCATGGCCTCATTCTTGCTAGGCAGGTTCTCACATACTTTTAGCTGCTTTTTGCATTGGCTATTTTCAAGATGGAGGTCTCAAGCCATGCCCAGGCTGTCACGTTCCTCCTACTTGTGCTTCCCATGTCGCTGAGGATGACAGATACATGACAACTTGCCCAGATATTGTGCTTCCCTTGTAGCAGAGAGAAATGTACATGCCAATGGCCTGGCCAATTGGTTGAGATGCAGTCTCATGAAAGTCTTTTTGCTTGAGCTGGCCTCAAACTGAGGTTTCTACCTTTTAAGTAGCTAAGGTTACAAGCTTGAGCCACAATGCCCAGCTTAAAAGAGATTTTTTTTTGTCAGTCATGGGGCTTGAACTCTGGGACTGGCCGCTGTCCCTCAGCTCTTCAGCTTAAGGCTAGCACTCTACCACTTGAGCCATAGCACCACTTCTGGTTGTCTGGTGGTTTATTGGAGATAAGAGTTTCACAGCCTTTCCTGCCAGGGCTGGCTTTGAACCACAATCCTCAGACCTCAGCCTCCTGAGTAGCTAGGATTACAGGCCATCAGCACCGGACTTGAAAGAGAATTTTTAAAGAAACATGTAAAAATCTGTGTATGGCTTAAGGAAGAATTATAAAGGAGTAGCCATACCCACTACCCAACCGTGGTATGGAAAAACCTATACGGTCCCTCTGGATCATCAGCCCCAATTAACCACAATTGTACTGAGTTATGTATCGATTATACTCTTACACCCTCAATATGCATGTGCATACACATGACTTGACTTTTTAAATTAAGGAAAATATGTATTTACTTTCAAATTACATGAGAAAAAATTAGAAATGTGAAATGGCTCCATTTAGAGAAAACACCACACAGTTGTCAGCTTACCGTGAATAAGCACACCCACCCTTCCTTCCTTCCTTCCTTCACTCCCTCCCTCCCTCCTCTTTCTCTTTCTGTCTTTTTTCTCTCCCTCCCTCCCTCTCTTTCTCTTTCTTTCTTTCTTCCTCTAGAATTTAGGAGGCCCCAAACTTTAGGGAGGCACTCTACCACTGAGTCATACCCCTCAGTTCCTTTCGGTGTGTTGGGTATTTTTGACACAGCGCCGTGCTTCCTGCCCAGGTCTGTGCCTATACAATCTGCCTATTTTAGGCTTCCTGTTATAGTTAGATGACAGATGTATGCCCCTATATCCAGTTTCTTTCTGTTGAGATAATCTCACAGACTTCTCTGAACTAATCTGGTCTAGAACCTCCATCCTCCCAAATCTTAGTCTTTCAAGTAGCTAGGATTGTAAGTGTTAATCACTGGCACCTACCAGCACTCTATTTTATATGTTTGATAAAAATGATCTGAACTATGCACTCATATCCTGTTTATCTATTAATGAATATTACTGACTTGACAGAGGATGGGACTATAGCCTGTCCTTTCACCTCAGGGATATGAAATAGAAACTATGCCCTATAGTCACAGAATATTGCTTATGATAACTAAATTTCATCTATCTATCTATCTACCATTCGGTTATAGTTAAAAAGAATGGACAGGTAAATACACCACGGGGATCTGTGTATTTTGGAGGGGAGGCTGCCTATTTTTTTTAACTTAATAGAAATGTAATCACTGATGTATCATTCGGTGACTTTTTAACATTTTATTTGTAGATTTATCCAGTCTAATGAGTTGAGTTATCTGCATTGATTTTCATTGTTGTTCACTTTATTTCCCAAGCTAAATAAAGGAGAAAATAGCAAAATTCTGGTGATGTTTAGGTGTAGGAGAAGCCAGGCAATGTCCTTATCTCTGCCCAGGACAGACCCTTTGGATCCAGCAACAAACCTCCCTAACATGAGCCAACCTCTGTAGCCAGAGACCATGTAGCCTGTCTTTCCTGCAGCTCTTAGACAACATGTGTTGGTATTGAGCAGAATCCAGTCTCCTGAGATGATCAGGGAGAAAGATGATCACTTTGGAGCTGCCACACTGAGGAATTGGGATGCAGCAGTCAGAAGCTTTCAACTGGGGCCTAAAGTAGTGGGAGAAGCTAAGCAATCTAGTCTCCAAATGTTCCCAGGGCTCTGTGGGTCTTGGGAAAGAATACAGGAGATGACATTTCAAGAAGATTCTCTGATCTGGTTTTCAGGACACCTTGAGTTGGGGATGGGGTGGGAAATAGCCTAGGTCAGCCAACCAGATCAAGGGCATATTTGCATATTCATAAGTCCTCCATGCTGGTTGGCTGCTTTTAAACAGCTCCTATTATCCCCAGCAGGGTTAGGTCTGTCAGATGGTGCATTGATTGCCTTGAGAAGGGGAAGGAGGCCTTCTTCACCCAGCCACAGCATCACAAGCCCACCTGGAGAGAAGGAAGCAAGGAAATCAAAATCACTTCCTGGCCCTGGCTTTCTCTGCCCAAAGCTGGTGAGGATTAGACCTCTGCACTCCTAGGGATCTCCCTGAGGATTCTTCTTGGTGAGTAAGGCCATCCCTTTCTTTCACCATGCCAGAGTCCTTCATTATTGTTATTATAATAGAATATTTGTTATGAACGTTTCGATACTAACACATTGTTAATGGGTTTCCCCATTTGCCCATCTGTTTTTGTTGGTGGAAATACTTTCAAGTAAACTCTAGACAAGCAAGTGCTCTACCACTGAAATGTTTCACTCCTTAGTTCTTACCCCACAGACCTGAGGTACATTTCTAGAATCCTGAAGCTACCCTTTCATTAGCTCTAATACCAGTCTTTGGTGAGGGGGGGATGACTATTATCCTCGTTTCAAAATGGAACCAACAGAAAGTGTGGCTGAAGGGTAAAATGGCTGGGCTCCCAGTCCAGACAGACCAAATCATCTCTGATGTTCCTAAATAATAATAAGGCATTTGTGGCCACTTCATGGCCTTGGGTATATGGCTGAGCCTTGCACTCCTGCTTCCTCATCCAAAAAGTAAGCATGTTTGGAAGATCCCTAACACTAGGCTGTGATGTTTTCAGGCAAATGATAAAGGCCCTTCAAGCGGTTTTCACACAGCTCCATTTATTTGCATGGTCTGCCCTTCCTCCTTTTCCAAAAGCAGAATGATTAAAACTCTTTCATTTCATGAAATATAAATGATAGAATATTGTGATCTTCTGTAGACCTATTTTTGTACCCTTATTTGCAAAATAAAATGTCAGTATCCCTCCGCTTGGTCTATACTCCCTTCCCTTCCTCACACCTCTTCTTCCCTTTTCCTCTCTCTTCTCCTCTCCCTTCCCTTCCTTCTTCTTCCCTTCCCTTGATGCTGGAGATGGAGCCCATAGTCTTGTGCATAGGTAAGCACTGTACCACTGAGTTACTTACCTTCCCAGACTCAACTTTTTCTCTTTTATAATGGTTGAAGCCTAAAAGTCTGAGAGCCACTCACTATATTAAACACTCCTTGAGCCCCTACCAATGCTACACTTTGTTTTGTGGCTGTGAAGCTTCCAGATCCACTCTATGAGAACAACTGCAATAGATGGAGTCTCTATGCCTGGTGCTGGAAAGTACAGAGTCCTTGGCATAGATTTCCACTGAGACCTCACTTTATAGACGGAGAAACAAGTATGCAGAGAGGCAGTTAACTCGCGTGAGATCCAGAGAGAGCTAGCCATTCTGACATAGGTCTAGCTGCAACAGAGCATTCTACTCTAATTCACATTCACATTCTACACACAGTTCACTATTGCTTCACAGTCAATGGTGTCACATACCACCGGGGCTTCTGACTCTGTTGTCTGTGTCTATAGACAGGCACATGGCCTGGGCTTTTCTACCATCAGCCAGTGTAGTGGAGAGAGCTTCTCAGGGTTGTACCAGAAACGGATGAGGTAGCCTTTGGCAGGCTAGAAACAATGCAGAGGGGCTTCTTCTCTGAGAGAAGGAAACAGAGAGATGTGATTGTCTAAGAAAACACCTTAATATAGCATAAAAATATTGTAGGACTTTGAGACATGCTATTCAAACCAACCCTGTGTTGGCAGCTGGTATTTGGGTGGCAAGCCAGTTAATATTGTGGGTAAAACAAAGCTGGATTCATTTATAAATGTTATTGAGGAGCCCTGGTTCTGAGTCACCAATGGCGGGCCCTGAGGTCCAAAGACATCTGCGTAGGCTGAGATATTTTCCTCCATACAGATTTGGGAGTGGTATCTCCCAAGGCACAAGCTGGTCCAACTAAAATATAACAGAATCTAGAAAACAAATCCCTGCAGTGACAAGCCCTACATTTTCCCAACAAGAACTTGAAGGAGCTGGGCACCAGTGGCTCATGCCTGTAATCCTAGCTATTCAGGAGGCTGAAATCTGAGGATTGAGGTCCAAAGGCAGCCCAGGCAGGAAAGGCTGTGAAACTCTTATCTCCAACAACTCTCTCTCTCTCTCTCTCTCTTTCTCTCTCTCTCTCTCTCTCTCTCTCACACACACACACACACACACACTTCCAGAAGTGGAGCTGTGCTCAAGTGGTAGAGAACTAACTAGTCTTGAGCAAAACAAGCTCAGGGACAGTGGGGGTCCTGAATTCAAGCCCAAGGACTGGAAAAAAAGAACCTGAAGGAACTTTAGCAAATAGCAATAAGCCTTCATACATAAATCTAGATTGAACATCGGTGACAGCACTGAGAGTCTCAGGTTTTACAGGGTATCAGTCCGTTAAGAACGTCCATAGGCCACCATGCTTTATGGATTGGTTCCCTGGTGCCCAGGCTGCAGTGTGCTGATGCCTAAGAGTGTACATACGCCAAAGCAGAGGCACAGTCTGTGAGAGGCTGCTCTCTCCCCCAGTGGCCCCATACCCCGTGGGTAGCCCTTCCCCTTTACCTCACTTGGACAGAGCTTCAGAAAATTCCCAGGGCATCTCAGGGAAGGGTGCAGAGTCATAGGGAGAAAGGCTGTCATGTTCCTAGGAGGTAGTAGACTCTGGCTGCCCTTTTTGGCTCCTGCCCACAATTCCAATGCTTCAGGGGAGAATACAACTTCTTTCTTCTATTTGGCATTCACTGTCAGCCTCATTACACTAGCTAGAAAATCCTATACACTACTTTGCTGCTTTCTCACAAGCTCAGTATTCTGCATTTATGTTCGTAACTAATTTGCTATAAGTTAGAGGATTTTTTATGCTGGTACCAAGGAATGTGTACATGGAAAGGAAGAATCAATGAGAGAACAGGTTGTTGCTTTTTGTGTGTTCCAGTACCAGAGTTTGAACTCAGGGCCTGAGTGCTGTCCCTTAGTTTGTTTTTTTTCCCCCTCAAAGCTGGTACTCTGAGCTACAGATCCACCTCTGGCTTTTATTGGCTAATTGGAGGTAAAAGTCTCATGGATTTTCCTGCCCAGGCTGGCTTCCAGTTATGATCCTCAGACCAGCCTCCTGAATAGTTAGGATTTACGCATGAGCCACCGGTACCTGGCAATGATTTTATTTTTTAAGAGCAATTTTATGTTCACAGTAAAAGTCGATGTAAAGTACAGAGAGTTCTCATGTGTTCTCTGGCCCCAACACATAGCCTCCTACAGAAATGCAATTTTTTTTTGTGTGTGTGTGTCGTGGGGCCTAAACTCTGGGCCTGGGTGCTGTCCCTCAGCTCTTCAGCTCAAGGCGAGCACTCTACCACTTGAGCTACAGCGCCACTTCCAGTTTTCTGGTGGTTTATTGGAGATAGGAGTCTCACAGTCTCTCCTGCCCGGGCTGGCTTTGAACCGTGATCCTCAGATCTCATCCTCCTGAGTAGCTAGGATTACAGGCGTGAGCCACCAGCGCCCAGCCAGAAATGCAAATTTTTAATAAGCAAAGGCAATGGTTGTGCTTTCAACTACAAAACATATCCATTGGTGATATGGGAAATATAGAAAAGTAAAAATTAGAAAAGACAGTAAAACCAGAAAAGTTTGCTAGAGTCTATCTCAAAAATAACCAGCAAAACTAAGTGTTGGCTGGGTACCACTGGCTCACATCTCTAACCCTAGCTACTCAGGAAGCTGAGATCTGAAGATCATGGTTTGAAGCCAGCCAGTGCAGAAAAGTCCATGAGACTCATCTCCAATTACCCACCAAAAAGCTAGAAGTAGATCTGTGGCTCAAGTGGTAGAGTGCTAGCCTTGAGCAGGAAAGCTAAGGGACAACTCCCAAGCCCTAAATTCAAGCCTTTATGAGCAGTGTGCGTGCGCACACGCGCGCACGCACGCACTCGCACACACACACACACACACACACAGTTAAAAGACAGTACCTAGGCCCTGAGTACAAGCCCCCATTAAAAAACAGGGTTGGAGTTCAAATGGTAGAATGCCAACTAAGTAAACTGAGCATGTGTAATGTCCTGAGGTCATGTGTAATGCCCTGGTACTTGACAAGAAAAAAATTAAAGAAATATATAGGATAGCTAGGCATAGTGCATACCTGTAATCCAGGAACTCAGTAGGTAGAGGCAGGAATCAAGGAATCAAGGCTAGCCTGGGGTATATAGAGAGCCCTGAAAAGGAAAAACGGAATGAAGGAAGGAGGGAGGGAGAGAGAGAGAGAGAGAAAGAAAGAAAGAAAGAAAGAAAGAAAGAAAGAAAGAAAGAAAGAAAGAAAGAAAGAAAGAAAGAAAGGAGGGAGGGAGGGAGGGAGAGAGGGAGAGAGGGAGGCAGGCAGGCAGAGCGGAGGGAGGAATGGAGGAAGGGAGGAAGGAAGGAAGAAGGAAGGAAATACAAGTACCCAAAGATATATGTGGTAATTTTGTTTTATTTTGTTTTACCAGTCCTGGGGCTTGAACTCAGGGCCTAGGCATTGTCCCTGAGCTGCTTCTGCTCAAGGCTAGCACTCTACCACTTGAGCTACAGTGCCACTTCCAGCTTTTTCTGTTTATGTGGTACTGCGGAATCGAACCCAGGGCTTTATGCATCTTTATGCATGCTAGGCAAGTACTTGACCACTAAGCCATGTTTCCAGCCCGTATGTGGTAATGTTGACCCTGATGTCATTTGTAACAATAATAGATAGCAACAGAAATTATTACATGCCAGGATTTATTCTAAAAACATGGGGTGTTAACTCAGTGAAGCCTTGAAGCAACCCTCAGTAACAGTAGGTATTATGGGACTTTTCATTTTATGGCTGAGAAGACTGAGATAGAAAGAGATCACAATGCCAATTGAGGGTTCAGAAGTCCACACATCCAGCCTCCATGCCATAATTGTTTACACTACAGTGATAGTGAACAGAGGGAAAAAATGTCAAAGGAGACTTTAATTTTTTAAATCAATAAAAGCTCATATAAACACAAAACAAGCGAGCAAGAACTTAAAAATAGATCTGGCCTGTCAATACAATGGACAAACTGTTGAGGATTTACACCATTGTCATGAAAGAGAAAAAAAAGAGCACGATAGAATGATGTATCTGTAATGCCATTTTAAAAGTTACACAATTATAAGCTAGGCACTGGTGGTTCACACCTGTAAACCTAGCAACTCAGAAAGCTGAGATCTAAGGATTGTGGTTCAAAGCCAGCCCAAACAGGAACATCCATGAGACTCTTATCTCCAATTAACTACCAAAAAAATTAGAAGAGGAACTGTAGCTCACGTGGTAGAGTGCTAGCCTCAAGCAAAAAAACAAAAACAACAACAACAAAAAAAAAACCAAAAAGCAAAAAGCAAAAAACCTCAGGGATAGTGCCCAGGCCCTCAGCTCAAGACCCAAGACTGACACACACACACAAAATTACATAATCATGAGAGTTAGATAACTGTTTCTACCCACAGAAAAAATAGTTTTTGGGGAAAAAAAGATGTACACTAAATGTCAACCATCCTTATACAATTAATATAAGCTTATAAAAACTGTTAACCATTTTTTTTCAGGAAACCAGCATTATGGGTGTATTTTTCCCATCTCATTCCATTCTATATATTTGGGGAGTAAAATGATTCTGCATTCCTTTTAGAATCTCAGAGAAGCGATCAAGCTATGTTTAAAGGATCATGACCATTGCTGCTCCTGGCAGAACACAAGAGTGCTGGCTAGTTAATTTTCAGACAGAAAGCCTGGCTGCCACTTCATGCAAGCTCTCGCAGATAAGGCTCTGGGCAGTGGGCTGACCTCAACACAGAGGCTTCCTGTTTCTCAGGAGCCCAGACACACAGTGTCCATGATTGTGCTACAGACATAGGAGGAAATGTCTCTGGGCACCCGATCACATTGGATTTTGGCTGGATTTCCAGTTTGTGGCCTAGACACTTGTATTCATTATTACTTCATTAAACACACTGGCCCTGTCTCTTTCCCTAGAACTTCTTCCGTCTGGACTCATAGACTATATAGACCCTTGGTAACTAACCCACAAGGAGATTTGGCAAAGGTGGTGATTTTATGCTCTTCTAATCTACCTGTGTGCCCGTCTGTATTGATTTTGTTTCATGCACAAGGATCTGTGCTTTTCTGTGCTTCATCTGTAGTGATGTACAAGCATCCTTTTGGGTCCTGATCAGCTTGCCTGGGAAATGGTTAGAAATTCAGAATCTTAGTTAGGTGCTGGTGGCTTATGCCTCTAATCCTAGCTACTCAGGAGGCTGAGTTCTGAGGACCATGGTATTCGGAATCTTTGCTCCCATCCAGATCTGCTGAACTGACACGAATTTCTTTGCCCTTTTTACTGAAAAACAAAAAACAAAAACACTCCACAACTCCAGGTCACAGGTACTATTTTCTTCCTGTCTCTAATTTTAGGAGCCCAGAGGGTTTGTAGACTCTGGCATCTGAATGTCCTGCATCTTTCTTTCTCTTTGGTGACCACTTCTCAACCTTCTTAGTGCAGACGAAGAAAGGTTCATGAAGGCCTTGGGCTCCTTCACAGAGCTCTGAGCAAGCGCCTGGGAATCCAGCCCATGGATCTAACCCCCATCTTGTTTTCTCCTCAGGCCTGTTTGTTATCTGGCAGAACCCTGCATGGCAGGTGAGAGAAGCCCATCTTCCCAAGAGCTGGGAGGAGACTCCCCCTTTCCCTGGGCTCAGCTCCCCAGCTCTAGCCTTGCTGACCCTGACTGGCTTGGGGATGAGCACATCCGGGCAAAGAAGGCCAGGGTGGAGACCATCGTCCGAGGCATGTGTGTGTCCCCCAACCCTCTGGTACCAGGCAATGGCCAAACCAGGAACAGTCCATGTTGTCCAGAGAAGTTTCGAGAGCGGAAGAGGAAGCAGAGCCTTCCTATCCAGCAAGGTCCCTTGAGGCCAGGCTCTGCCCAGGACCAGGGTATGAGGATGGGGAGTCCCCGAGTGAAAGAACAGCTGCACCTACTGAAGCAACAGCTCCGACATCTGCAAGAGCACATCGTGCAAGCTGCCAAGCCCAGGGCCCAAGCTCGGGGCCTAGGAGGCACCTTGAGTGCACCCCAGAAGAATGGCTGCAGCTCTAGCTCCTGGGCAGCTGGCAGTGACCAGCACCAGGGATCCAACAAGTACTTCTGTGGAGCAGAGACACGCAAGGTAGCTGATGATGGACACCAGTCTGAGAAGCCCAGGTGTCTTCCTTCCACAGCCCAGGCTTTGCTGGAGATTCTGAGGAAGGAAGTGATCAGCGTGGTAGCCCAGGCTGTGGATTCAGTGTTCCAAAGGGTGCTAATGGATCTTCCAGACAACCTGCCCCAGCAAAGCATCAGCTTCCATAGGCCAGTAGCAGAGAGTAGAAGTGAGCATTCACCTCCTGGAGGAGGTGACTATAAAGATCCACTTGCTCCAGCATCTTTTCCCAGAAGGGTCCAGGCACAAGCTGGCATCCCTTTAGAGAACTCATCACTGACCAAGCCTCTAGATTCTCCTAAATACCCTATCTCTCCAGGAAAGGTCCCCAAACCCTATCAGGGTTCCCCAGCCAACTGTCCCTTCACTGTGCCTTCCTATATCCAGGAAAATCAGGTTTATAATGGCTATTGGAGCCATGGTCGTCTCCAAGATTCATCTTCCCAAAGTCTCCCATCCCCAGAGTCTTCTCTGCGTCCTTTGGTTTTGAACCAGCCCCACCTCTCCCTGCCTTTTATGGCAGCCCATCTGGAGAGCCAACTCCTTCCTCCCTCAGTGAAGAGAGAGCAGAGTGGCCGGCAAGCTGTCACCGACGTACTTCCTTTCTCTTCCATTCACATATCCTTTATTGGTCACTGAAATTCTTGTGGTCACTGCCTAGAGAAACAGGAAAACTAGAAGTTGAGGAGGAGGTGGGGACAAATATCATACTGCACAGGAAATAACTTTACCTTCTAATGGTTTGTTGGTTATTATTTATTTATGGTTTTACTCTGATCAAACTCAGAGCCTCTCACCGGTAAGCACTCTACCACTTGAGTCACACCCTCAGTTATTTAGCTTTTCAGTTTTATGTTTTTACCAGAATCAGACTTAAATTATGCTCCTCCTACCTGTACCTGATTAGCTGATGATTCACCACATCTGGCCTTTCCACTCTTCTTTTTTATATATAATTTTTTTATTGTGATTAAGTGGTTACACAAATTTCACAGTATTGTGGGATAGTGATACTTAAAGTCACAAACACAAACCTTCTTAATGTTACTTCTTCACCTTCCTTTCTTGTTTTTCACAGCCTGTTGACTACCTGACCAAATAGAAACCACATGCCAGGATTTCATGATGTAGTGAAAGTATATTTATTTCTATGACTCATCAGATTCTGCCATGACTGACTTGTTCATTTGGGTCAGAAAGGGTTTTGTTTGCTTTTATTTTTATTTATGTGTTTATTTTTGGTGCCTGTCCTAGGGCTTGAACAGCTCAGGGACAGTGCCCAGGCCCAGAGTTCAAGCCCATAGACTAACCAAAAAAAAAAAAAAAATATATATATATATATATATATGTATATATGGCGGTGGGGATAAGATAGCTGCTTAAGCCTAGTACCCATATTTCACCAGCTCCTGACTTGGGTTGCTTTTAAACTCAAATAAGCTTCCAAAATTATCTTAGACCCTAGGGATGGAAGAGCCCTATAATTTGGCTGCGAGCTACCCATACTGCTGGGTAGAGGGGGTGAATGACTTCATCTGAGGTGTGGCTGCCCCAACCTCATGACTCTGTAGATAAAAGGCTTGTGGGGCCTAGATAATTCGTGGGGAAGACATGAGGAACTGGGAACTTCTGGATCAAAAGAATAGTTTTTCCTAAGAGACTAGATCCAGAAAAAGCAATTGAAAGGAGTTAGAAGGCTTCCATTTAAGGATTAATTTCCAAGCTTCAGCGGCAGAGGCTGGACGCTGGGGGCTAGAAACAAGTAGGTGTAGACCACTACCCTAGGAAACCTTAGAGGCCCAGTCTGTGCTGCAGCAGTCTGCATCTTACTGAATCTTCTTCCCAACCCTCAGGCAGACACCACTGTCCTATAAAACAATGTTTCTCAGAATAACTCTTGGAATATTATTAGTTGATGAGCTAGAAGAAAATGTAGTATAGGCAAATACAGGTGTTTGGTTTTTCTTTTTTACTGTGCAACTTCTTGGAGCCCTTAATATGATCTAAGAGGAGAATGGAGGAGCCTTAAACTTGTGTGACCCAAAACCCCTCTTCCAACCAGCATCTAACAGGATGATGTTCCTGAGAACATGTGGACGTTGCTTTTGTTTTATTGAGCTTTGCTCATGCTGCTGCTATTTCTCATGAGCCCTGTCTCCAGGGTGGTGTCTGGAGTCTGCATGTGGGAACAATTCTGTCCTCCGCATGGCCTGGACAGAGAGGAATAGGGTGGAGTCTGCTCACTGCAACCAGAGTAGGTCCTCCAGACCTAAGTGCTTTGAGTGCCCTCTGCTGGTGTCGTGTTAGCAATGCACTAAATCCCAGGCTTCCCTGGAAGGCAATGAGCTAAGAACAGTAAGAATAATTCATTAAAGTAGGGCTCTGGTGGCTTGCACCTGTAATCCTAGCTATGCAGAAGGCTGAGATCTGAGGATTGCGATTCAAATACAGTCTGGGAAGGAAAGTCCATGACACTCTTAGCTCCAATAAAACACAAAGAAAAAGCATTCTGCTGTGGTTCAAGTGGCAGAGCACTAGCCTTGAGGAGAAGCAGCTCAGGGACAATGCCAAGGCCCTGAGTTCAAGCCCCAGGACTGGCAAATAATAATAATAATTCACTGGCCACCACCACCACTTGGCAGTAGGAATCTTCTAGGAGGTAGAGACCAGCATTGATTTGCAGTTACCTTCCTGAGTTTTTGGTAAGAGATTGCTGATTAGACTCTGTTGAAGTCAGATAATAGGAACCTACTTAAGAACTCAGTCCTGCTGGGCACCAGTGGCTTACACCTGTAATCCAAGCTACTCAGATCTAAGGATTGCAATTCAAAGCCAGCCCAGGCAGGACAGTTTGTGAGACTTTTACTCAAAGATAACTACCAGAAAACCAGAAGTGGTGTTGTGGTTCAGAGTGGAAGAGCACTAACCTTGAGCAAAAAAACGACTCAGAGACAGTGCCCAGACCCTGAGTTCAAACCCCATGACTAACAAAAACAAAACTCGAAGTCTCTGAGCTGGTGCTGGGTGGCTCATGCCTACAATGTTTGATACTTTGGAGGCTGAGACCTGAGAAACATAGTTAAAAGCCATCTGGAGCAGGAAAGTGTGTGAGACTCTTATCCCTAATTTTGGGCACAAAGCTAGAAGTAGAGCAGTGGGCAAAAGTGGTAGAGTGCTAACCTTGAGTGAAAACGCCAAGGGACAGTGTTCAGGCCCTGATTTCAAGCCCCAGTGGAGACAGACAGACAGACACACACACATACATATACACACAAACACAACTCAGTCCCCAAATACCAGTACAGCCCAGCAGAACCTGGGGCAACAGATGAAGAGATGCCGAGGCAGTGATATCTCAGAATATGGTTTATTAAATAATTAATACTCAATGACCACCATGAGGCAACAAATGAGTTTAATTGACAGATAATGTTAAGCTGAAGTTGTTCCCCCAGCCCCCACTTTGTATGTTCAAATTATCCCAGGACAAAATTAAGAGAGTTACAGGAAAATAGACAAAAAGGCACATTCCAAAGGGTAGATGACCAAAAACAAAAACACAGAAAAACAAAAACAAAAAATCCGAGGAAGTATTTAAGCAGTTTTAGTAAGGGATCTAGGAATTTCCACACTAAGATAAATACACTGTCTTTTGATAGGAATGAATGGAAAAGATCAAACACTCATAATCCTGTGTCTTTGGACTTAGGATAAAAATAATCCAATCATTCATGGCATCATTCATGCTTCCAGCACACCATCAACCCTCCTGCAGCTAGTCACCATCCCCACAAGCCTCTAGGGTTCCTACACCCAAATGTGTGCTGCTGTTTGCTCAGCACCTACATGTGCCAAACCCTGCCTGGGCCCAGAGAGTTTCGGGAGGCTTAGAGGTCCATCCTAAGGTAGACCTAGATGAGGCTTAAGAAGGCCAATAATGGGGCTGGGAAGGTGGCTCAGTGGTAAAGTGCTTGCCTTGCATGCATGAGGCCCTGGATTTGATTCCTCATCACCACATAAGCAAAAAGAAAAAAGCTGGAAGTGGCGCTGTGGCTCAAGTGGTACAGTGCTAGCCTTGAGCTGAAGAGCTGAGGGACAGCACCAGGCCCAGAGTTCAGGCCCCATGACCGGACTGCCAATAAGGCAGGAGGGGGCAGGAAATTTCCCTGCAGCATGCTGGGTAGCTAGGTCAGCTGTAATCACAGTTAGTGGGTTTGGTTTATCATACTGAGGAGTCACAGGCCTGTTGCCCGATTTTATTCTGTGGGGAACTTATCACCAGCCTGTGGACTGTCCCTGGGAATGCTAAGTGTTCTTGTGAGGGTCTTTGTGGGGCGGGGGGGTGTCACACCACGGCATTCCTGCTTTGTTAAAAGAATATAAATTCCATATATGGGTATGGATAAGGCTGACCATCTACTCATTCCTTCAACCAACACACATTTATTGACCCACTATTATATGCCTAGCATTGAGATAGGCACATGGTACACAAAGATGAAAAGATATGCCCTTCGGGAGCTAACAGTCTAAATGGAGCAACCACACATACAATAAAAGCTCTAGGAAAGTTGTTGCTACAACAGAAGCTTGAAAAGGAGTCTTGGGCGTCCTAGGTGAAGAAGGCCTGATTTAGCAAGGAAAGATCCCACAGGGGATGGAGCTTCTGAGTTGGAGTTTGACAGATGAACATTCTCCCAGGTAGATGGGGGTCACGGGGCACAGAGTGGGTGGTGGATGTAGCACAGAGTTTCAGTTTCCGGCCATGCAGGTGTATCATGTGTGGCAGTACTCAGGCTGGCTAGATGCTTGCAAAGGCAATTAGAATGACAGCCAGAGTGGAGACCATGTTTTACAGATGAGAAAGTTGAGGTAGAGGGGAGGTTAAAAACAAAAACCAAAACCTCCTCATTCTTGGGGTTTCAAAATGGTTTGCCTAGGATACAGGCACCATCTTCCCCATCCCATCCTAAAGGGGTACAAAGTATAGCAAGCTGGATTTGGTATCATACATGACATATGATATGTAATCTCTCACATGTGGGGCTTGAACTCTGCGCCTGGGCGCTGTCACTGAGCTCTTCAGCTCAAGGCAAGTGCTCTACCATTTAAGGCACAGTGCCACTTCTGGTTTTCTGGTACTTAATTGGAGATATGAGTCTCATGGACTTTCCTGCCTGAGCTGGCTTTGAACTGAGCTCCTCAGATCTCAGCCTCCTGAGTAGTAGCTAGGATTACAAGTGTGAGCCACCGGCATCCAGCTCTTGGGAGTTTTAACTGCAGCACGGCTTCTAGTTAGAAAAATGGAGCAGCTCTCCATTCACCCAGAAAAAAATAAAAATAAATAAAACAGAACCTAGAAGGAACAGAACACTCACCATTGGGATCATCTGGTAAGCATTATTTGATAGTTTTTTTTTAATTGGCTTATCTGGGAGGGGATTTCACTTTACAGTTGTTAACATGGTGTTCCAATCACTTTACCCCCTCTGCCAGACTTGCTGCCTTCTTCCCTCTAGGAAACAGTATCCCCAACAGATTTCCTTGTTCTGTTTTCAGAGTTGCAAATACTCTAAACTTGTGTTCTAAAGTGTTATTTTTCCTTGACACTGAGACAAATCCAGGAAGGCTTAAACCCTGGTCACCTGAAGAAGGCCAAACTAATGTTTTTCTATACGCGGTATCCCAGCTCCAACCTCCTGAAGGCTTATTTCCCTGATGTTCAGGTAAAGACTCCTTAAGTTTCTGCCTCTTACTAGTAAAATTCCCAAGTGTCAGCATAAGGCTGGTCCTGGGTCTTTCAAGCTCCTCTCATAGAGCTGATAGAACCCATGCAATTTTCAGTGCTGAGACTGTGCAGATAATCATGAATAATTATGAATAGATTTGCGGTAGGAAATTTGGGTATTTGAACTTTTAGGCTTTTCGAGCAATAGGTAGTTCCAGAAAAACATGGAAGGTGAGGTAGGAAGAAAATTGCTATGAAGTGGAATTTTTGGCCTAGTTTTTTTTTTAATTTAATTTTATTTGTGAACATACTGTACAGAGGGATTACAATCACATGGGCAGGATAATGCGTACATTTCTTACCAAGCATTGCAGCCTCCTCCTTTGGTTTACTCTTCACATCCCTTCCCAGCCTCCCCCCTCCCCCCAAACCCAACCCCCCCCCCCCCCCCCCCCCCCCCCCCCCCCGCACCAACGTTGTAAAGCTCGTTTTGGACATGACAACTTGTACTTCTCATTGTTGCAACAGGTCCACCTGTATCCTTAAACAACTGGTTTTTCCCCATCTCCTCCACAAGTTATGCTGACATCAAATATAGTGAAAGCAGGGGTTATACTGTGGGGGAGGGTGGCCTAGTTTTTTATCCCCTGGGAACCTTATGAAAAAAAGAGGGAGTATTATATAAGTATTATATAAGAGTATAAGTAATATAAACAATACATATTTTGGCTGTGGTCCACAATCAAAATCTGCATACAGATCAAGTGTGACAATAGGGAAAAATCACACTGATTGTCAGACCCAAACCTTGCTAGAGATCTTGTGGTCTCTAGCCTTCATGATTGGCTAAGAACTGTTAATACTTTAGATCTATCCGTTAAGATTTTCAGGCCTTTTCTCCACATACAGTAGCTTTGTTGATCAAATTCTTATTAGATTTCCCATTTATTCTGTAAAGTCAATTGGCCAATAAACTTCTCCCTCACCATACTGTTACACCTTCCCTTGGCATTTAGCCAGGCTGAAGGTTCTGGAGCTTGACCCTAGGTCCTCTCAAAGTTGTATTTAGACATCATGAAAAGATTTTCATGGGTGAAAACCTTCATAAATCTAACACCAAAATTATTTGCTAATGGGCATTAGAGTTCATTCTGGTTTTTTTTTTTTAAGCTCAACTATGTAGACTTGGCAAACAGCTGTGGATTGTTTTTCCAATAGAGGCCCATTAGTGTTGGTTGAAGCCATCCATATTCACCCCACAAGGAACTTGGTACTGGTAGTTCTGATTCTGAGCTCCACAGAGTAAATGTCTGATTTGATGGATCCTTTGTTTGCACAGTTCAACCGCTGCATTACTTCTCAGATGATCAAGTGGTTCAGCAACTTTCGTGAGTTTTATTACATCCAAACGGAAAAATTTGCTCGGCAAGCAATTTCAGATGGTGTCACAAATCCCAAAATGCTGGTGGTTCTCCGTGATTCAGAACTTTTCCGAGCTCTAAATATGCACTATAACAAGGGAAATGACTTGGAGGTAAGACAATGCACTGGGTCCTATGTTTCTGAGATACATCTTCTCCCTGTAGGATTGGTGGTTTTTTTTTTTTAAGACCCCCTGGACTGGAAATGTGTATTATTGAGAGTGCTTGCCTAGCATGCATGAAACCCAGGGTTCAAAACCTCAGTACCACATAAACAGAAGATGCTGGAAGTAGCCCTATGGCTAAAGTGCTAGCCTTAAGCAAAAGAAGTTCACAGACAGTGCCCAGGCCCTGAGTTCAAGCCCCAGGACTGGCAAACAACAACAGCAGCAGCAGCAACAACAAAACAAAGAGATCTCCTGTTTGTTCTTAAACCAGTGAGAATCATGGTGGCCTGCACAAAGATGACAATTTCAACATCTTCTCTCAGCCAACAGGTAGATAGAAACAAATACAGTTGTCCTTCCTGAGATCTGCCAGGTGTTTTACTATTCTAGACTTTTTACTCTGTTGTCAGGCTACAGAACTTGTAGATCTCAATGTCTTGCTTCACTTCAGGGCCAGGAGGCTGTGGACTCAATGCTGAGTTCAGGTGCAGTACCTACTCTTGACCTAGGTTTTCTCACTTGGCTCTTAATCTGTATTCTCAATTTTATTTGTGAGCCATCCATGGCCATTCACCTTAAATTATGAAAACAGTGATGCTCAAGGTTTCTCAGCTCCTTAGGATCTCTATGAAGACAACCTGTTAACACCTTAAAGGTGAAATATCAATAAAGGGTGAGCCTAAGGTGGGATAGGTGTGAATTCCTTTTGGGAGCTATGGACAGCCTCTTGAGTGGCTGGCAGCTGTTAGTCTGGCTTCTTATTCTGCAGGTGCCATACGTATCTGGTCAAAGACTCCATTTCTCCCTTGCCTTCCCACTTGGCTGTGATCACGAGTAGTTTACAGATACCTCCAAGACTGTAAGATCTACTGGCCTCTACTGGTAGAATTCCCAGCCAGAAGTTTTGGAAACCTAAACCTCCTGTGGGGAGGAGAGCATTGCCAGGGCAGTGTGGTATGGTATCCCTGACACATCTTTCCATGTGGGATGGTCACTTGGCAGGCAATGGTGGCAAGCTCCTAGCTAAGCTGCATTGATAGGGCCTGTGGGGACACTCTCCCTTACTATGGTGCCAGTCCTGGAGATGGGTGTCCAGGGACAGCCCTCCTCTCCCCAGCTGGCTTTGGAAGTGGAAATGCAAGCCCTTGAGATCCTGCCTTAAAGGATGGTAGTTGAAGCTTGCGGGTATTCCTTCCCTCAGCAGGTCTAAGCAAAAGAGGTTGGAAAGACCTCGTTAGCGGAACGAGCTCCTCCTACAAAGAGAATGTTTGTAACAGACTTGTTCCTGGGGCCACCTCACTAGAACCATCATTTTAAGGTTGTGCCTGGCAAGGAGGAAAGGGTTTCCTAAGGCTTTAGAACCATGAGCCCTGTGGGGCAGGGATGCTCTTAGCACACTTGCCAGGAAGCAGGCAACTTCTACCAGTGGGCTCTCTCTGGTACCAGTGCTTCCCGCCTCACGTCTTCTATTCCTTGGGGGTCTCTTGGGGGATGCAGGTCCCGGACTGCTTCTTGGAAATCACCGGCTTGACATTACAGGAGTTCTTCAGGGCTGTCATTGCAGGGAAAGACTCAGATCCTTCCTGGAAGAAACCCATTTACAAAATTATTTCCAAACTGGACAGTGACATCCCAGAGATATTCAAATCTCCCAGCTATCCCCAGGAACTGTTTCAAAATTAGGATAAAAGAAAATGAGTGGCCTTAAATGGCAGTTTAACTGGAGAAGGGGCACAAGGACTCCCCCACCTCAGTAGGCACCATTACCAGTGTGATCACGTAGCTCCTTTGCCAGAATCATTATTAACTACAGTTGGCATATTGGCAGTACATTGAGTTTGGAATCAGAAGGCTTGAATCTCAATTCCACAGTTGCTGGGAACTTCCTGATGTCTCTCCATCTGTAAAATGAGGTTCTAAGGACTGCAGGATAAAATGTCCTGAAGTCTTCTGTGCCATGGGACACACAATGCTAGCCTCTCCCCTTTCTCTAGCCTTCAGATGTTATCATTTTTTTTTTACAAATATAGCTGTTTCTTTTCAGTTATCTATTGAGCTCTATTTGTAGATAGTCTAACATTATCTTTATGCTTTCACCCTGAAAAGCAGCTATTATCCTAATTTTTAAAATGGCCAAAAAGGCGGCTTTTTTTTTTTTAATTTTAACTGTGAAGCAACTCCTCAAAGGCTGAGGCCAGGCCAGAAGTGCAGAGTACCTCATGACTTGTGAACCAGACTGCACACCGGACCAATCATGCTGTCACTCAGACTTTCAAGTGGCAAATGAACCTAAGCAAGCTTCCAGCCACCTGACATCTGTGCCTGGCACTCAGGAATCCTTCATCACCCAAAATTTTCACTGATGCTTTCATTAAAGCTAGCGCACATTTTGGAAGGACTTGAGCACTGCTTCCTGTTCACATTCTTCTGCCGGACACCTGATATAGCATCTAGTTGACTGAGGAAATTGAAGTCCTGGCTCTCTCTGTGCAACAGAAATGGAACTTCAACGGGTGGTAGCTAGACAGAGCCTTCAATGATCACCTGGCTCAAGCAGCTACTTAATCTGGAGAGGCAACTGAGGCCCAAGCAGGAGGCTAACATAGGATGTGCACACAGGTGTGAAAGGCATAAATGGGACATAGAACCACACACAGAAGTAGAGGTTCTCCAACTCCACAAAGGAATTACAGTCCATAACTGAATGTCCACAGATGACAAATGTCATGAAATCCACACTCTCCCCCATTACTGGCCCAATGCAAATGGTAGACTGACTGAACAAAAAGCAAGATATTTGCAAAACTGAGCAACTGTATCTGTCTTCTAAACTACAGAACCAAGCCTGGAAGCACTGCCAAAGGTGTGTGGGTAGGGCTAATCAGAGTGGAAAAAGGGGTCTGTGACTGTGTTAACATCTTCACTTCCCATTGACATGAAACAAGTTCCATATTCAGTGACTTTATTTTCATGACTTAATGGGTGGGGTGCTAGCTGAGACAGATGAGAATAAAAGTCCCTAAACTGTTGCTATGTCAGCAGAAAGAGGTATAAAAAAAAGGACTTTTGATTTTCTCTTCAGTTGAGGAGCAGTAAAATATGCTCGGGCTAAACCAGTCTTAAAATACATCTACTGTTTTTATCTTAGATTTTAGTGCTGGGAATTGAACCTAGGGTCTGCCCCCCTCCATGCTAAGCATGTGCTCCATTACTGAGCTACACCTGTAGCAAAGGGCTTTTTTGGTGTTTTTTTTTGTTGTTGTTATTGTTGTTTTGTTGGTCATGGGGCTTGAACTCTGAGCCTGGGCACTGTCCCTGAGCTCTTCACCTCAAGGCTAGCACTTTACCACTTGAGCTAGAGTGCCACTTCTGGTTTTCTGGTGGTTAATTGGAGATAAGAGTCTCATAGACTTTCCTGCCTAGTCTAGCTTTGAACCGTGATCCTCAGATCTCAGCCTCCCGAGTAGCCAGGCTTATAGGTATGAGCCATAAGCGCTTGGCTAAGTGTTATTTTGTTTGTCAGTCCTGAGGCTTGAACTCAGGGCTTGGGCACTGTCCCTGAGCTTCTTTGGCTCAAAGCTAGCATGCTACCACTTGAGACATAGTGCCATTTTCAGATTTTTCTGATTATGTGGTACTGAGGAATCGAACCCAGGCTTGATGCATGCCAGGCAAGCACTCTACCACTAAGCCACATTCCCAGACCTCAGGATTATTTTTAAGTGTCCTTCAATACATCTAATTACCACCAGACAAAGTTCTCCATCAAAATGGAGGAACATAGTAAGCCCAAGATTCCAAAACTGACAAGGACTGTGTACCCCCGGAAAAGGCAATCAGTTCTGTGTGGAGACAGAAAAATCACACTCCACAGTGACATTGCATAGCTATTGAAGACATTCACAGGAAACAGTTCCAAGTTCACATGGTTGTCTGATATGAAGCAGCTCTCTCCTTCACCCCAAACCTGAAGTTCATTAGTGTATGTTTTAAAGACTGAGCCAAGCCACCTCCAGGGCAGTGAACCTCATCCCAAGGACCAATTAGATGAAATGTGCAAGCTCAAATTGAAAACATTTGTGTACTATAGGCTTTCCAGGACATGTTCTCTAGCCACTGAGCTAAACATAGAAGAATGTACAAATACGTACGTTCTGCCAACAGAAGAATTCTATTTTATTACAGTTTTTTGTTTCTATCAAGTATATCTCTTTCAGTGTTGGAAATGTATTCTTGAGTATAAGCCGAGTTAGGTATTATGTGCTGTCAACAGTCTTCACACTGCCAAAGGTCTGGTCATTCTTTCCATGAAGGTATATGTGGGTGCTGTTCTCTCGCAAATCCAACATGTTCATAGTCTCTGATCAAGTACTACATAATGGAGAATGACCCGCCTGGAATGTGGTATGTGATGACAGAACCTCTGAGGAGTGAATGCTCAATTACTGATGAAAAGGAGGCAATTGGTTAGCATTCCATGAAGAAAAAAGTTCATTAGGAATCTCTAGGTCAAATGTGGTTTCACACAGTACACATAATTCCAAACCAGACTTGAATAGTAGGACATAAAAGGCATCTACTGGGCTGGGAAGGTGGCTCAGTGGTAGAGTGCTTGCATTGCATGCATGAGGCCCTGGGTTTGATTTCCTCAGCACCACATAAGCAGAAAAAGCCAGAAGTGGCGCTGTGGCTCAAGTGGTAGAGTGCTAGCCTTGAGCTGAAGAGCTGAGGGACAGTGCCCAGGCCCAGAGCTCAGGCCCCATGACTGGCAAAAAAAAAAAAAAAAAAAAAAAAGGCATCTACTGAGCATATAAAGGATGCCTAAATCTGTGTGTGTGTGTGTGTGTGTGTGTGTGTGTATGTAAGTCCTGGGGCTCAAGCTCAGAGTCTGGGCACTTTCCTTGAGCTTTTGTGCTCAAGGATAGCACTCTGCCACTTGCACCAAAACTCCACTTTTGATTTTTTGGTGGTTAATTGGAGGTAAGAGTCACAAAGTTTCCTGCCCAGGCTGGCTTTGAACCGTCATCCTCAGATCTCAGCCTCCTGAATACCTAGGATTACAGGTGTGAGCCACTGTTGCCTGGCTATTTGAGTTAAGTAAAGAATGCAACACTCTTTATCTTTGTCTTCAATGACAAAACATAGAATTCTAAGGAAAAAAATAATCTAAGATAGTATATGTCTGTAACCTAATCTTACATGTGTTTTTGGCAAATATTTCTTTTAAATATCCTTATAAAATTAATTAAACTTTTGGTATCAAGTTTCCCAGAGGAAGTTCTATATGTCTGAAGTGTCATGATCATGGATTTAGCCTTTTAGTTTAACCATTTGTTATGTAAAGTATATCAAATGTAGTTTAATGTATGCATATAGAGCAAGTTTTAAAAATCCTGTTTTTCATACATATTGTAAAATATATTGCATAGCTTATGTTTTCTCAGTACTGAGAAAATCAGAGAAGAAAAAGAAATACAGTGATGAGTGGAAGATAAGGAACACTTAGCTAAAATAAGTTATAGCTCTATCAGGCTGTTGGTTAAATGATGTGTATTTGAGTTTGATAAGAGCTCTGTATTCCCTTTCTTTGCTGATTCTGGGAATCAAACCCAGGGCATCATGCATGCATGGCACTAACTCCACCACTGGTCTTCACCCCAGGCAATGCTCTACACTCCTTCATCACTTCCAGGCTTGAAGCTTTGCAGAAACGATAAGCTTGCAATAATATGACAAATACAGTAATTCTCATGAAAGTACAAACACATTCTTGTCAGATTTACTGTAAGTCACAGCAGCACATCTGTAAAGGATGAGCTCCCGCAACCTAGTTGGAGCATTAATAATACATTCCACATCCCTAAGGTGTAGCACGGTGCCTGCATTTACAAATATTAAGTGCTCACCTATGAAAGAAAATTCAGGAAAAGTACTTTGCAGGGCTAAATTCCTACAGACCAAGAAAAAGGGTTTGTAGACTATAGAAACCTAAACAGTGTAACTGCCCAGGAGTTGTATGACAAAACAAAATACAACCAGATGCTAGCCTCTGGAGGAAGGAGGACTTAGGGGTGTGCGTGAGGGGGGGGGCGGGGGAAGGAGGTTGTAGGCAGTTTACCTTCTCTTATACCATGTCTTTTGCGGGTTATTTACTGTCTTACAGTCTCACCTCTTTGTTTATACTTGTTGTGCCATTCCCCAAATTTCCAGTTACCCTTAAACAAATGCTCTCAATCTTTTTCTTCTATTTACTGATTTCTGTGGCACCAACTCTCATTTGCTTGATAGGGTGTCTGTCTGACCTAGAAATTCAGCCTTAGGCATCAATGCTGTGGCTCCCTTTTCCTTTTCCCCACTTGCCCTCTGGGAGCTGGCCTGATGCTGCTTCCTTCAACTCTGGCTCCACAAGCTATGGGCTTTAGCGTTCCCATCTGTAAAATAGTACCTAGGCTCACAGTACAATTCTAAGGTTTAAAATAACACACGTGCAATACTCAACCCATCTCTAATGAATAGTATGTTCTCAGTAAATGCTAGCTGCCACATCAGTTGTAAATTTTTTTTTTTTTTTTTTGGTCCGGTTGTGGGGCCTGAACTCTGGGCCTGGGCGCTGTCCCTCAGCTCTTCAGTTCAAGGTCAGCACTCTACCACTTGAGCCACAGCGCCACTTCCGGCTTTTTTCT